CTTGTACAAAAATATATAAGGGGTGTGTGAGATATTCTTGTTCTAAGAGGCATGTAGGAACTGAGAGCAACCAAAGATATAGCATGTTTTTCCAATTAGGTTTCTTCCTTGGGTGACTCCCATGGAATTTAACAATTCACTGTGTAGTGTACTTAGATTGTCTTTTAGAAAGTATAACAAGTGGCATCTTATGTTAATAATTAGGAAGAATCTAGTAAGTTCTTTTACTTTAATGCTTTATTTTTATATCTTTGCAAAACACTATGTACCAAACATACCAACTTTGGCTTCTTACAATATTTTTTTAAAAAATTATACTTCTTAGATAGTTTCTGAAAGGATTTCTTAATCCTAAGCAGAAGTGAGACTCTAAACTGCAGTTGAAATATAAATTAATATTTCACTGATATTTGTTATTTTGGAAAATTCGCAGCAGCATACAGTTTTACCAGATGTTAGTATTGTATTTGACTCCAGAAGATTGTATACTTAACATACTTAACTTTAAAAAACGCAGTATTTGTAAAACCACCATAGTATTGTACAGAGGAATACCTTGTTTTATTGCATGTTGCTTTATTTGCACCTATTTCTTTTCTTTATTTGTTTTTTTTTTTTACAAATCAAATGTTTGTGGCAATCCTGCGCCAAGCAAGTCTGTTGGAGCCATATTTTCCAACAGCATATGTTTACTTTGGGTCTTCCATGTCACATTTTGGTAATTGCAGTATTTCAAATTTTCTTATTATTAGTATATCTTTATGGTGATCTGTGATTAGTGATCTTTGATGTTACTGCTGTAATTGTTTCAGGGGACTGCAGACTGCACCAGTGTAAGGTGGCAAATGTTATGACAAAATTATAACATAAATACATGTTTTAAATTAATTTATAAATGTTTGTGTTCTGACTGCTCCACTGATCAGCTATTCCCTTTATCCTTTTCCTCTGAACTCCCTCTTCTGTAAGACACAACATTAACACCTACAGTAACCTCTGTGTTCTAGTAAAAGGAAGAGTCTCACCTTGCTCATATTAAATCAAAAAGCTTTAATAGAAATGATTAAGCTAGTGAGGAAGGCATGTGGAAAGCCAAAATAGGCTGAAAGCTAGGCCCGTTGCACCAAATAGTTAGCTAAGTTGTGAATACAAAGGAAAAATTCTTTTTTTTTTTTTTTTTTTCCTGAGACGGAGTTTCGCTCTTGTTACCCAGGCTGGAGTGCAATGGCGCGATCTCGGCTCACCGCAACCTCCGCCTCCTGGGTTCAGGCAATTCTCCTGCCTCAGCCTCCTGAGTAGCTGGGATTACAGGCACGTGCCACCATGCCCAGCTAATGTTTTGTATTTTTTAGTAGAGACGTGGTTTCACCATGTTGACCAGGATGGTCTTGATCTCTTGACCTCGTGATCTGCCCGCCTCAGCCTCCCAAAGTGCTGGGATTACAGGCTTGAGCCACCGTGCCCGGCCCAGGAAAAATTCTTAAAGGAAATTGGAAAGTGCTACTCCAGTGAACAGATGAATAATGATAACAGCAGCAGCAACAACAACAACAACAACAGCCCTTTGGTTATTGGAGAAAGTTGGAGTGGTTTGGATAGAACTTCAAACCAGCCACAACATTCCCTTAAACCAAAGCCTAATCCTTAATAAGACTCTAACTCTCTTCAATTCTGTGAAGGCTGAGAAAGATGTGGAAGCCTCAGATGAAAAGTTTGAAGCTGGCATAGGCTGAGTCATGAGTTTTTTTGTGTTTCTGTTTTATCTATTTTTTTGACAGGTTCTGACGGTGTCACCCAGGCTGGAATGCAGTAGGGCAGTCAACTCACTGCAGCCTCTATCTCCTGGGCTCAAGCAATCGTTCTGCCTCAGCCTCCTGTGTACCTAAAACTACACATGCTTACCACCATGGCCAGCTAATTTGTTTTTTCATAAAAATGCACCTTGCTATATTGCCTAGGCTCTTCCTGAACTTCTAGGCTTAAGTAATTCTCCTGCTGTAGCCTCTCAGAGTGCTGGAATTACAGGTATGAGCCACTGTTCCCAGACTGATTCATAAGTTTAAGAAAAGAAGCCATCTGCAGAACATAAAAATCAAGATGAAAGATCAAGTTATCCAGAAGATGTAACTAAGATAACTGATGAAGGTGACTATACTAAACAACACATTTTCAATGGAGACAAAATAGCCTTCTGTTGGAAGATGATGCCATCTAGGACATTCATACTGGAGACGTAAAGTCAATGCGTGGCTTCAAAGCTTCAGGATAGGCTTTCTTGTTAGAAAAATGCAGCTGGTGTCTTTAAGTTGAAACTAATGTTTATTTGCCATTTTGAAAATCCTAAGGCCCTTAAGAATTGTGCTACATCTATTCTGCCGGTGCTAAGTGGAACAACAAAGCCTGGGTGATAGCACATCTGTGTTTTAGCATGGTTTACTGAAAACTTTAAGCTCATCTGCTACTCAGAAATAAATATTTTTTTTTTCAAAATATTACTGCTTATTGACAATACTCCTAGTAACCCAAGAGCTCTGATGGACATGTACAAACATGTTGTTTCATGCCTGTCAACACAGTATCTGTTCTGCAACCCATGGATAAAGGAGCAGTTTTGTTTTCAAGTCTTTTTTTTTTTTTTTTTTTTTTTTTGAGACAAAGTCTAACTCCATTACCCAGGCTGGAGTGTGGTCATATGGTCATGGTCACTGCAGCCTTGACTTCCCAGGCTCAGGTGATTTTTCCACCTCAGCCTCCTGAGTAGTTGGAACTACAGGCACCACCACACCCAGCTAATTTTTGTATTTTTTTGTAGAAGTGGAATTTCGCCATGTTGCCAGGCTGGTCTTGAACTCCTTGGCTCAACCGATCTGCCCATCTTGGTCTCCCAAAGTGCTGGGATTACAGGCAAGAGCCATTGCGCCCAGCCAGGAAACTTGTCTTTATAAACAACATCCAATTATTCCTCTAATAAATGCAGTGTTTACATTTTTTGTCCACCTTGCATCATTGGCCCACTGTCAGTGCTTTCATAATGCCCCATTTCTTTTAATGTCTACCATATACAGCCTCACTGAATGTCTTTGATAGGTTCTTAGAAACCATGACTTTAAGCAAAATGATGTATAATGAAACCAATTTTACCACAAGCTAGTTGATATAAACAAGAGTTCAATTACTATGGCACATTTCTGGTCATAAATATATCACATTTCTAAATAAAGACCCATAACATGTCTAATATTAAGCTTTGAAATAAATGTGAGTTATATAATACATTTAAGGAAGATTAATAAAAACAAGTGAGATAATTATTTACCCAATTTTTAGTGAATCAGTGAGTGATAGTCATAGTGGTGGTGAGTCAAATCAAGGAATAAACGTTTGTAAAGCAAAAATTGTAATGAGTACCTCCTACCACTGTGAAGTTGAAAAACAATAACAACAAATATGATGGACTCACTGAGCACTTTCTTACTACATCATTTATTTATTGTACATTTGTATGATTATTGTATACTTGATGAATTTCTATTTTACAGTAATTTATATTATTTATTCATTCATTTTTCAACCTGCCTACTCCAAGTTAGGGTTGCTGGTGTCTGGAGCCTGTCCCGGCTGCTCAGGGCACAAGGTGGAACCAACCTTGGACAGGACACCATTCCACTGCAGGGTACACTTACATACACCCACACTCACTCAGACTGGGCCATTTAGACATGTGAATTAACCTAATGTGCATATCTTGGGGATATGAGATGAAACTTGAGTACCCAGAGAAAACCCAAGTAGATGGGGGAAAACTTGCAAAGTCTACACAGACAGTGGCTCTGGCTAGGAATATATTTTTTGTCTCATCAACATCATAACAAAACAGCATTATTTTGGTGTGTGGCCTTTCAGAACTTTCTTTTATCTATTGTCTCAACTGTCAGTTTAAAGGGCTCTTTTTAACTTTTTTTTGCATGGTTATTGACTGAAACTGTATTGTATTTCTGCCCAGGTAACTTTTCCATTAAATAGAATGATGTCTTAACTTGGGGAGCCACAGAGGTATTTTATTTCAGTTTAATTAGTTTTTTTTTTCTTTTTTTAAAATTCTGTGTGTTTTACACATTGTAAAGAATTATCACAAATGAGTTCTCAGGTTTTACCTGAGTACCAAAGGAGCTCATGTCACTAAAGAGGTTAAGTACCCCTGACAGAAGAATTTCCATTTCAGTGGAATATGATGAGTGGTAAGAGAAGTTATCGATGTCATGTAACTCTAAACACTCAATCCCAGAGTAAATTACTCACTCTATTAACAGGGAAGATGAGTCCAGACAACTTCAAGAAATTAAAGAAGACTAACATTGGCTTTAGCATCTTGATTTTTCCGTTTCTCAACTTTGCAAGGCTGAAATTGGCCACTGTTCTTCTAATACAGATGGAATCCTATATGATGTGCCCAGAGGCAGCATTTATAGTGGAAAACTACATAGTTATTGAAATCACAAGTGCTTAATCTTTCCAAGTTGCTGATTCTTCATCTGTGATATGGAAATAATAACATGCACATTACTGGACTGTGGGAGGAATAAGGACCCAAAATATGTGCATGTGTATAGTACACAATGTCTGGCTCAGTGTGGGTACTTGAATGGATGCTAATTTCTTTATTTATACTAAAAACCAATAGTCAACCTGAATTGAATTTAGAGTTTGGTGGTAGGGGTGATGGTCGTGGTGGTGATGTAGGAATTAAAATTGTCATTCACTTTTCTTTGTAGAATTAGTCTGGATGATTTTCGTTCAGTGAGAGAATTTCCTGAAAGAGGTGGACTTCTTTGGGAGAGAGAAAAGTAGGTTACAGAGTGTAGTTGCAGAAATAATGTGAGAGAGCACAGGTTGAAGAGTAGGAAAATTAAATTTAGAGTCCAACTTTGTGGAGAGGAGTAAATAAAGGGAAGTGTACATGTCACTGAATTTATGCTTTTCCTTAAGTTATCTGTTTTCAGAGCAGTGGAATTTTTCATCAGAGATAAATATGAAAAGAAGAAATACTACGATAAAAATGCTATAGCTATTACAAATGTAAGTAAACCTTCGTCTCATCAATTGACATTCGTTGACTAGATCTCAGACTTTTAGCGTGCAATACAGCTTTATTTATTGTGAAAATATTCTACTTGCATATGTTTACATTTGAATATTGGAAATACTTTTGGTTATATAATGAGCTGTTGCAGAGCAGAACTCTTGATTTAGAAAGCACATTCTAAATCTAATAACCACTCAGTTCACATTTAATTAGGTTAATTTTTGAAATTTGCAAAAAGCTAGAACCACTAATTGAAAATGGTGAGAGAGAAAATTGTGTCCCTAGATTCTAGAAATGTATGAAAAAGAAAAAAGGCAAATATATCTTCCTCTAAGGGCTTTCTTTGGTTGGTCCATTGAGACATGAGACCAGTAGTCCAGGAATATATTCAAACATAGCATTTACACTTCTTATTTGCAAGCATTTTGGTACTCCTAATAGTTGAGTCTTTACAGTAGTGATCAACTACTGCCATATACCCCATAATGTTTCAGTCAGTGACTGACTGCATGTACAACTTTGGTCGTACAAGATTATAATCCCATATTTTTACTGTACTCTATGTTTAGATATATTTACATATACAAATACGTACCATTGTGTTAGAATCACCTATAGCATTCACTACAGTAACATGCTTTACAGGTTTGTAACCTAGGAATAATAGATTGTTAGGGTGTTGTACCACCTAGGTTTGTATGAGCATACTCTTTGATGTTTTCACGATGATGGTATCATGCAGTGATAAGTTTCTCAGAATATATTCCCATTGTTAAATGATGCAGGACTGTATGTTTTATCAGCTGTTTCTTTTTGGTTAAAATTTCTCATCCAAGTTAATTATAGTCTAAGGCTAATTGCCTTTATTGTTGAAATCATGTCTTTGGACTGTGATTTCTAGATTAATAAGCAAGGTATAAACTGGTTTATCTTTTTGTGAAGTCATCTGTCAAGCAATTTAGAGACAATGGAAATAGATTCATCTCATTTTTCATATAAACTTGTTTTCCTCTTTGGCCTGTATGGAGAAGCAATATATTAAAAATTCAGTCTAATCCTAATAAAGTTAGGATATTTTAATATGCTGTTGTTGGCCATAAAAAAAAATTCTTGTTAAAAAAGTTTTTAAGTATCAGCTCAATATGGTGGCTCATTCCTATAATTTCAGCACTTTGGGAAGCCAAGGTGGGAGGAAGCTAACAGTTTGAGACCAGGCTGGGAAACATAGTGAGACTCTGTCTCTTTTATTTAAAAAAAAAAAATTTTTTTTTCAGCTGGGCATGGTGACTCACGCCTGTAATCCAAGCACTTTGGGAGGCCAAGGCGGGTGGATTAGAGACTAGCCTGGCCAACATGATGAAACCCCGCCTCTACTAAAAATACAAAAATTAGCCGGGTGTGGTGGTGCATGCCTGTAATCCCAGCTCCTTAGGAGGCTGAGGCAGGAGAATTGCTTGAAACCAGGAGCCAGAGGTTTCAGTGAGCCAAGATCATGCCACTGCACTCCAGTCTGGGCAACAGAGTGAGACTCTATTATTTAAAACAAACAACAAAAACAACAACAACAACAACAAAAAACACTAAAGTTTTTAGGTATCATTAGTGTGTATTTTAGAGCAAAGATATTCTTGTATGTAGCATTTACAGTGGATGTTAGAGAGGAAATCTGTTGAAGGATTGATTAAAAATTGACAGTATTGAGAATATTCATAATGTCTATAAAATTAAGGCTACTGTAAACATTGAGGGGGGAAAGGACTAACTTAAAAGTGTAATGTATTTTTGTATGCAATCTTAAGAAATCATTTTAGTTTATTTTAGAGAACATGCTGTTTTATATTAAACACTTAACATATCATGCATTTTAAAATTATATTTTCTTAGCAATAATTAGGAAATTATTTTTACATAGTAATGTATAAAATAGTTTTATTTTGGGATGGTAGCTGTTACTGAGTTGAGTTTCTTTCCCCCCTCAAGGTATAATATTGGTGTACTTAGTTGTGAGAATTCCTTCATTCAAAGGAGACATGCTAGAATAAAATACTTGGAGATTAAATGTCATGATACTTAATACTTTCAAGTGATTTGGTGAAACCTGGCAGCTTTGTTTGTTTGTGTCTGTAGAGAGAGGGAGAACAAACATGGCATAATGTTAGTATTTGACTAATATTAGTGATGTTTATAGAGGTATTCACTCTATAGATTTTTTTTCTTTTTTTTTTTTTGTAGACTTGAGAGTAAAGATTTTAAGGTAAAAATTTATTTACCTCAGTATGTACTCCTGAGTTTCTATTACTAATGAAATGAAAATGCGGAAAGATTTACAAAAATCACAGTAAACCCAATGGAAAATGTATTCCACCTATTCCAATATAAGCAAAATAATAATAATAAAAAAAAGTTTATATTGTAGCAGGTTTAAACTTTTTTTCCTCTTTCATGGTGATCAGTAAGCAAATAACTAACCTTATGTATTACCAATAATTACATATTTTTATTCAGTGTTTTGTCTTCATTAATAGATTGAGCACTCATCCAAATAAATTTGGATCACTTATGTTCACAGTCTCCTAAAAACAAAGAGAACATGACTGTTAGAGACATTTATCATAGTGGAGATAGGAACAGATTTTAAAAAATATAAGCACCTTATATCTAAGATTCAAGGAGTACTAGAGTACTTAAGGGATATCCACAGAGGGGCATTTATCATTCCTTCTTTTTTTTTTTTTTTGGCTCTGTCGCTCAGACTGAAGTGCAGTGGCACAATCTCTGCTCACTGCAACCTCCACCTCTCAGGTTCAGGCGATTCTCCTGCCTCAGCCTCCCAAGTAGCTGGGACTACAAGTGTGCACTGCCATGCCCAAATAATTTTTGTATTTATTTTTATTTTATTTTTTTTGAGATGGAGTTTCACGCTTGTTACCCAGGCTGGAGTGCAATGGCGTGATCTTGGCTCACCGCAACCTCCACCTCCTTGGTTCAGGCAATTTTCCTGCCTCAGCCTCCTGAGTAGCTGGGATTACAGGCACGCGCCACCATGCCCAGCTAATTTTTTGTATTTTTAGTAGAGATGGGGTTTCACCATGTTGACCAGGATGGTCTCGATATCTTGACCTCGTGATCCACCCACCTCGACCTCCCAAAATGCTGGGATTACAGGCTTAAGCCACCGCGCCTGGCCTAATTTTTGTGTATTTAATAGAGACCAGGTTTCACCACGTTGGCCAGGATGGTCTCGATTTCTTGACCTCGTGATCCACCTGCCTAGGCCTCCCAAAGTGCTGGGATTGCAGGCGTGAGCCACCACATGTGGCCGACATTTATCACTTCTTTGTGTTGGGAACATTCAGTATCTTCTAGCTTTTTGAAAATACACACTAAATTATTGTTAGCCATATTTATGCTACTATACTGCAGAACACTAGAACTTACTCCTCCTATCTAGCCGTATGTTGCACCTGTTAAAAATTTCTCCCTATCCGTTCTCTCCCTTACCCTTTAATGCCCACAGTTCTCTCTACTTCCATGTGTTCAGTTTTTCTTAGCTTACACAGAAGAGTGAAGATGTGTGGCATTTATCCTTCTGTGACTGACTTATTTTGCTTAGCATAATGGCCCCCAGGATTATCCATGTTGCTGTGGATGATAGGAGTTCATTGTTTTTATGGCTGAATGGTATTCCATTTTGTATATATGTCACACTTTACAAATCTGTTCATCTGTTGGTGGAAATTTAATTCTGCATCTTGGCTGTTTTGAATAGAGCTGCAGTAAACATGGGGGTTCAGGTATATCTTTGATATACTAATTTCATTTTCTTTAGATAAATGCCCTGTAGTGGGATTGCTGGATTATATGGTAATTCTGTTTTTATTTTTTTGAAAAACCTCCATATTGTCCATAGTAGCTGTACTAATTCACATTCCTACCAACAGTGTCTAAAGAGTTTTGTTTTCTCTGCATCCTTTCCAGTATCTATCATCTTTTTGATAGACCATTTTAACTGTGGTAAAATATCTTATTGTGGTTTTGACTTGCATTTGTCTGATAATTATTGATGTGACCACTCTTTTATATACTTGTTGGCTATTTTTCTGTCTTTTGAGAAATGTCTATTTAGATCATTTGTCTATTAACCTTTGTTTTCTGTTTTTCAGTTTTTTGCTTTTGAGTTGATTTCCTTGTATATTATGAATGTTAGTTTCTTGTCAGATGAGTAGTTTGCTAATATTTTCTCTTATTTTACAGATTGTCTCTTAACTCTATTAATTGTCTCCTTTGCCATGCAGAAGCTTTTTAGTTAAATGTAGTCCCATTTGTCTATTTTTGGTTGTGTTGCCTGTGCTTTTGATGTTTTCTTCATAAGATCTTTGCCTAGACCAGTGTTTCCTATGTTTTCTTCTACAAATTTTATAGTGTTGGGTCTTCTATTTAAGTCTTTATTATTAAAAAAAATTTTTTTTTTGAGATGCAGTCTCACTCTGCCACCCAGGCTGCAACCTCCACCTTCTGGGTTCAAGCGATTCTCCTGCCACAGCCTCCTGAGTAGCTGGCATTACAGGTACATGCCACCAGGCCCAGCTAATATTTGTGTTTTTAGTAGAGATAGGGTTTTGCCATGTTGGCCAGGCTGGTTTGAACTCCTGGCCTCAAGTAATCTGCCTGTCTTGGCCTTTCAAAGTGCTAGGATTACAGACATTGAGCCACTGTGCTCACCCAAGTCTTTAATCTATGTTTAATAATTTTTAATTTTTGTGGGTATACAGTAGGTGTATATATTTATGGGATACATGAGATGTTTTAATACAGGCATGGAATGTGTAAAAATCACATAATGTAAAATGGGATATTTACCTTCATTATCCTTTGTTTCACAAAGGATAATGCGTTGAATATTATGTTGTTATATTGAATAAGAGTGGTGAAGATAGGTATCCTTGTCTTATTTCTGTTCTTAGAAGAAAAGTTTTCAGCTTTTCCCCATTCA